GATCAAGGAGGCCGATCCCCTCGAAGAGATCATTATCATCCCCATTTCTCTTCTTTCTTCCACGATAAGACTTTAGGGTCTTATCATTTGGTATCAGAGCCTACGATAAGACTTTAGGGTCTTATCATTTGGTATCAGAGCCATGATAAGACTTTAGGTCTTATCAACCTCCACTATTCAGAGTAAGGGGGGTATTGGCTAACACATGATCAAATCATTCGACGCCCAAGTATAAAAGGCACACCCCAGGCCAAGCAATAAAGCCAGGCAAGCAATAGCCTCTCTACCCTCTTTTTCATTTACACAATGTTTAATGTTGTCTTCCTCCTTCTTTGCCTCTCACTGACTTAAGCATTGGAGGGGTTGAGATGGGAAGCCCCGGTGCAAACCTGATATGCAAGACTACCAGCGACTAGGAGACGACCCAACTACTAGGAGATGACTCCACAATAAGGGAGACCCCTATTTCTCTACCGGGCCTCTCCACTCCAAGGCCAAATTACCCCCGACGAACCATCTCCCAAGCAGACCTTCTATGTTGGTTCACCATGTTAGCACTCCACTTCAACAGGGAGGAGTCATCAGAAGGCATATGCACTTTCGGTAGATAACCAACCAGACCGACTCACCAATCGATAGTGTATTCGTGACATTATCATTTTGGCGCTAGAAGGAGGGTTGAATGTCATAGAAATATCCTTCAACCACTTCTTCCAACGAACCCTCGAGCGGAGAAGGCACTACCCCATTTCAACATAACGATGCCTCCACTTCGGCCTAGACATCGGGGCCCTACTAGCGCTTACTCAATGATCCAGGGCTTTCCCCTAGGGCTAGAGACAAGCCCCATGCTCATCTTGTCATAAGCATTCTTAAGTCTCACTAAGCATGTTTAGACTCTTACCGATATGTATGATACAAATCATCACCCCACTTCTCCCTCAATTGACTTAGCTAATAGCCCTGATGTAACAGCTCGCCCTTAGACCGTCGATTGCACATCTTCTTCTCGAAGTCAAATCAGGGAGTCAACAATTCACCTTCTAAGGATCTTTTCAGCCAAGAGGGACGAGCGGCCCCGCGTCGCAGCTTCCGGCGGCGAAGTGTAGCGTTCCACTAAGTCACATCAAAGCCCTGCTAGAGTATGAGGCCCAATCCGACAACTCTTGGGAACCCTTGATGAAAGCTAAACTCCAAGCTATGAACCGGAGGCTAGACGAGGTCCAATAAGGCTTTGCGGTAACCCCGCAAGCCCTCTCCCAGCATCTTCGGAGCATCAACAATGTTTCACAATAGTTCCTCAGCCCCCTTCCTATAGCACCTCGCCTCATCCTCACCAGTGCCCTTTGGGCCTCCACGAGCGTTTGCTCAGTTTCCTTTGCACATACATGAGCCAACTCCAATGTTAAGGACAACACAAGGACCCAGGCCTCAGTAGCCTTGTGCCCCCGCCTTCCTCGACAACACTCTCTATTGGGAAATCTGGGGCAGTATCACATGCATAGCAGAAGAACAGAAAATAAAATCTCAAATTTTTCCCCTAAAAATAAACGTTTCATCATCGTGCGAAGATTAGTGCATCAAAATTCGCAAAACTGAAAACTATACATATAAGAAAGATGTGTTACCTTGGAGATCATATATCCTTAAAAAACTACAGATCTATAGGAGAAGACGAAGGAGGTCAATTTTTCTCCTCTTTAGTAGTGATCCACATGGTAGGGGCTGCAAAGATGCTTTTTAAATTGCTACATAAACATTCTTTCTATGCGTACCACCAGATCAAAAAGTGGCCAACCTTTCTTGTTATCCACACACCCCAAACAGGAGCTGCTAGCTAAGGATGAGAGGGGGAGAAGAGAATAGAATATGTTAGCTAAAAGGGGTCTAGCCTATGACTCTTTGGTTTCCTTCTATTTATAGAGGGTTCCTATAAACTTATCCTAATGGATCCTACCCTATTAGATACTGGATCTCCATTCAACTAATTAAGTCACTTAGATTATTAGATCTCTACCTAATAATTTCTTACTAGCTCTTATTGGATCTTATCCATATGATCCAAGAATTTATGGGCTTATTGGATATCCAATAAGATAAGGGCTTCGACGGACATCTTATATCCAAACCTCTACTTGTCGCAATACCTACCATATGTGTATGACCCACTAGGCTCAATATTGAGCTGACTATGAGTCATACTTTTCAGAACTCATTCTAGCTCAGTGAATTATTATCTTCATAATGACTCATTTGACTAATCGACTATAAATGTACTAGCTATTACGTCATAGTCCTCAGACGATACAGGAGAATTCAATCCATTGGACATATCTATCCTCAATTATCGTGTATCTATAGTCTTTCATCCATCTAATATCTCAAAGATCGTATATTGAGTATGGTGTTGTCAAACTCATATGGAATCTACTCAAGTCTTGCTCTAATTAGATTCTTTCGGAGAACTATTTTCTCTCTTGATCTGAATGACCCTAGTAAGGGATTTGCTTGAGCAAAAATGCATAGGATATTCCTCTCATGACATTGAAAGCGGGTGATCATTTATCGATACTCAATAACCCTTGTAATGTTGGTTATTATTCTCGATGATCAATTGTGTTAGATCTAAAACTTCTAACCTATAAGTCTGGTATCAAATAGTAGATTACTCATATAAGACATTATTGGTGTCTCAAGTCTAAGAACCAGATACACTACTAGGACAATGAAATCATTGTCTGACAATGAGAAATCATCAACCATCTAGTATTCCGTAAGCATATTGATCAATGAACTCGTTCTCTAATGAGCACCTGCATTGTATTCCTAGTGTACCCACACGAGTAACTATGAGATCAACCGCCTCCATCATATGGATGGGTATATAACACTAGCCTATTTAGTTATCTCATTATCTCTCTCAAGTAACCTATTACTAAGATTATTTAGGGTATGTGTTTAAAAGGGAATCGATCTCATTATCATGATCTCATCACGATCCGATTCTCATTGCACAAATCTATGGATATCACAATATATATAATAGGCAATATAAAGTGAAAAAAAGCCAAATATATAATAAGCAAAAAAGAGTGTGTATCATATAACACATGTCATCACTCACGTGATTGGCTTGCAAGACACACATGATTAGTACCCTCTAGGCCTCCACAAGCTTCTACTTAACTTCTGTTACCCATAAGCGAGCCAGCTCCAATGTTAGGGATAGCCTAGGGACTCAGACCTCAACAACCCTACACCATCGCCTTATCCTCGGCAACACCCTCCAGGCCTTCGCAAGCCTCTGCTCGACTTCCTTTGCCCACAAACGAGCCAGCTCTAGCACTAGGGACAACCCAGGGACCCAAGCCTCAGTGGCCCTATGTCCCCACCTCATTCTCGATAGTTCCCTCCGGGCCTCCGCAAGCCTCTACTCGGCTTCCTTTGCCCACAAACGAGCTAGCTCTAGCACTAGAGACAACTTAGGGACCTAGGCCTCAGTGGCCCTATGCCCCCACCTCATTCTCGGCAATGCCCTCTGGACCTCCGCAAGCCTCTGCTCGATTTCCTTAGCCCATAAGCTAGCTAGCTCCAACGCTAGGGATAGCCTAAGGACCCAAGCCTCAATGACATTACTCCTTCGTCTCATCCTCGGTAGTACCTCCGTAAGCCTCTGGTCAGCTTCCTTTATTCACAGGTGAGCCAGCTCCAATGTCAAGTATTGACCAAGGACCCAAGCCTCAGTGACCCTATGCTCATGCCTCATCCTCACCCTCTAGGCCTCTGCTCGGCCTCAACAACACTACGCCTCCACCTCGTCCTTGATAACTTCCTATGAGCCTTCGAGAGCCTCTACTCGACCTCCTTTGCTCATAAATGTGCCAGCACCAACACCAAGAGTAGCCCAATGGCTCGAACCTTAGTAGCCCTGCACCCTAGTGTCCATCATTAGTAAAATGTCATAATAGATTTCGTTAAGGCGGATCCATTTCCCAGCCCATAGTGGTTGAATTCAGACCCATGGAACCCACACCTCCAATCACTGCACGTTAGTGGAACCTAAAGAGGAGCATGGCCCCTAAGCACATCAAGCCAAGGCAGCAAAAAGACTCCTTCGTAAATGAGTACTACATGCAATACAAATCCTAAAGGCAAGATGACGCATCACATCCTGAGTGAAGCACCTTAGCAGAAGACCAAGGCCTGCACCTCAGTCAAGCAAACCCGCTCCCAAGCCATGCACCTTAGCAAGAAGACCCGAGGCCTGCACCTCGACCGAGCAAACTTACTTCCGAGCTGTGCACCTCAGCAAAAAGACCCGAGGCCTACACCTCGACAAGAAGACCCGAGATCATGCACCTTGGCTAAGCAGACTCGCTCCCGAGTTATGCACCTTAGCTAGAAGACCTGCTACGACGGTCGAGCCAAACCTCATAGTGGGTCCATCCTCTTGCTAAAAAACGATCGAGTCAAACCCTACGACAGGTCTAACCTCCCGCTTAAATGCGGTCGAGCCAAGCCCCATAGCAAATCTATCCTCTCGGTCAAAAGCAATCGAGCCAAACTCCTTAAGTCAACATTCATCACTCATATAAACGCCTCTAGAGCATTGTCCGCCTCAACGGACCTCACACCAACAACCACAACCTCACTAAATAACCACAACCCTGAAGCACGCCTTTCAAGAGGATGAATGATAGGGATAATATTAGCACCCTCCAACTCCCTCCGCTATATGGACTAACAAACAATAAAGGCATGAGAACCGATGATCATTAATGATAGCACACCTCAACTTTCCTATGCACCTCTTGGATGACATCTCGAGTTATGCCTTTGCATTAATGACTGATAACAAGCTGCTCTCATTAAGGCCTTCACTATTTAGAATAAGGGGAGCCTTGGCTAACACATGACTAGACTGCTCGGTGCCCAAGTATAAAAGTCATGCCCCAGGCCATGCTACAAGGCTAGGTAGGTAATAGCATCTCTACTCTCTACTCTCTCATTTACATAGCTCATACTGTTGTTTTCCTCCCCCTCCACCTCTCGCTGACTTAAGCATCAAAGGGGTCGAGCCGAAAAGCCCCCGATGCAAACCTATTGTGTAGGACTACCAACAGCCAAGAGAGGATCTCACCGCTAGGAGATGACCCCACAGTAAGGGAGACCCCCGACCTCTCCGCTCTAAGGCCAAATCACCCCTGGTGAAATGTCTCCCCAGCAGACCTCCTACGTCGATTCGCCACGTCAACACCCCACATCAACAAGGAGGAGTAATCAGAAGGCACCTGCACTTTCGGTAGATAAACCAACCGGGCCGACTCATCGGTCAATGATATTCGTAACACTATCAATTCGGACAAATGAAGTTATTTGTTTCACTTCATAACTATAGAGATCCAAATATAAATTTTTTTAGTATAGAGATCATATTGTTAATATGACTCAAATACAAGGGATAATATATAATTAGCTTGTAATTGTCTTAAATGTTAAACAATCGATTAAAGGATTAAATTTGTGTGACTCGTAGGATAAGATAAATCAAATTGCGGCAACAAATATTAGTTATTACAAGAACGAACAACAATCTGAGCTAATAGGGCAATACTCATCAAATGTACTTATAATTATTATTATAAAGTGTGACACCTCAAGTAGTCTTACATCGCAAGTATGAGAATGATACATGGTGACACATAAAACTATAAGCATTTATTATCATTAATTAGAGACTAAATATTTTGGAGTATATTTTGTTAGGTTAATCAAATTTTATTAGGTTTTAGATGAATCTATCATTAATTTAGAGTTAACCATTTTGAATCATGTAGTTTTTAGTTTGAGTTATTCTAAACCTCTCTGTAGTCCGTAGGGGTTTGCGAAGAGCGGAGACGGGAAGATTGACCATGGCGGAGTTCGTTTGTTGCAGTATCACGCGCCTAGAGTCAACCTCGCCGTATCACCATCAACGTTGCACGACATCATCTCATTCCGTCGTTTTCGTCCCCGTTGAAATAAGCATCTCGAACTCATCTCCACGCCCACGAATCCCACCAGATTCCGAAGAATATGCACCCAAAAGTCCCTTTTTTGTCTTCGAAGTTGCGTCTTTCCGCGTTTGCTTCATCCGGAGAGACAAAGGCCCTTCCTTTAGCCTCCTCCTCCCGCTGCTTATACTGATTTGGTCCGTCTTGGTGGCCGGCTACTCGACGTGAAATTGCTCTATGGAGGCGAGTCAGGGAGGGGTTTTTGGCTGCACTGGTAGTTCCCCGTCGATGGAGAGCGTACGGGTCGGTAATGAGATAGAGGAGGCGTCGGTGGAGACGCCGGTGGAGTCGGAGGAGGATAAGGTCTATGTCGCGGTGGCTGCGGAGCTGGAGGCCGGACTGACCACTCTTTTGTGGGCTATTAAGAACAAGCACGGTGCCAAAGCCGTCGTTATCGTTCACGTTCATTCGCCAACGCAGATGATACCTATGAGTATGCCTTTTTCTAGTTCTCATTCTTTGATTTTTGTTTAAGACGAAGAGAAAAATGTCTTATTTTGATAAGAAATGCAATGAGTAATTGTTGCTTGTATTTTGGGTTAATTTTTTTTTGTCACATTTTGATCTGATTTAGGGTTTATCAAGTTCGCAGAGTAAAGTACATCCTTATTACCATGATACTTTATAGGATAAAAAAGGAACTCTTTTCTTTCAGTGGTCGTGATAATATGACATAAGAAAGGGATTGAAAAATTAGTCGAAAAGCATTGATTTTTGTGGTTTCTTTGGGTTTAAATAGTTGGCAAGTACCTAAAGATAAATACTTGTTCAATTTGACTTAGCTTTGGATTCAAATTCTGTCTGATAAAAGGAGTTAGTAAGCTGAGATTGGTTTAAAGCACACATTCCTCTGGTGGTTTTGGGTGCATGTGTATGGCTTAATAGCTGCTTCAATTCAGTCCAATTCCCTTCTGTCCTTCCAATTTTGTCTCAACAGAAGAACTTAAGATCATAGTTATAAATGCTGTAAAAGTTTTGATATTTCTCAGAATCAGGAAGATTACCATCCGAAAATCTATATAACCATCTGTTTAAGGATTGCACCATATGGTTACTGTAGTTTTACATTACATTATTTCTCAAATGTTGACAATGTTTTCAAGTATATCTCTTGGTTCCAGTGGGGGGCAGTTTTCTTGCAAGCTCACTAAGTGCAGTGCAAGTCAGTGCTTATAGGCAGATGGAGAGGGATAAGATGAACAAAAGATTGGATGAATACCTTGCTGTGTGCTTGCGACTGAAGGTATCATTGGGTGCTTCATCTTTTCATTTCATCAATTTGCTTTGCCTTTAACCACCAGTAAAATTTATACTTTGTGACCAATCAATGAAGTCATATTTTAGTTTTCTGTAGATTGATATTTATACCAAAAGTGAAGCATCTTAAACAAGTTTTGAACCCAGTAACATTCAGATTATTTTTAAAATCAACCTTTTGATTTCAGGTAAGAGCTGAGAAGCTAGTAATCGAGAATGATGATGTGACAAGAGGGCTTGTGGAGCTTATTGCACAGTTTGGCATCACTAAGCTTGCCATGGGAGCAGCAGCAGATAAGCGATATTCAAAGTATGAACCAGAAACCTTTTGATTTTGTCAAAATTTAACAGAGGAAGAGAGAACAACTTGCTCAGAGAGAGAGAGAGAGAGAGAGAGAGAGAGAGAGAGAGAGAATGGAATGTTAATCGCAAAGAACTATCATTTTCAAGAAAAATTTCATTGGATTTATAAGAGTTGGAGTTTGTGGTGGCAATCTCATACGATCTACTATATTGGCAGTACTTCCAATTCAAATGCTTACAAAATCAGTGTTGAACTATTGGTTACTATGTCGAGGTTGCACTTCAATTTTTTGAAATCTGTTCTACATGGGTCCATTAAAAGAATTTTACCAAAGAGTCTTATGGAGGAGAGCAATTTTAGCAAAGTGTAAACCATGGATGAGCCAGTTGAGAGTCCAAGTTTTATGGAGAACTCTTGTAGATTTGATTATATGTATTGATCCTTTTGAAGATATCATTCTTTGGGAGATGCAGTATGAATCTAATAGCTCTGGATTGATTAAAAAGTCATTCATTTTCTTATTCTTCAAGAAGTGCAGTTTGAATCTAACAGCTCTTATTAAAGAAAAAATTGATTAACAGATATTCATATCTAAAAGGAAGAAACATTTAAGATTTATCGTGTTATTTATCAAAATACTTCATGAGACCAAAGTAACAATTACAGAAGAAAGAACAACAGAAGTTTCTCTGTGGAATATCATTTGCAAGGGATTAACTGAACTCCAATTTGGATCCGGTGTATTATTTGACAGGAAGATGAAAGAGCTCAAGTCCAAGACTGCAACCGGTGTGAATCAACAAGCTGATCCATCATGCATGATATGGTTTGTTTGCAAAGGGAAGCTGATATACACCAGGTATGCCTATGCTCAAACAATATGTTATTAATTTTCTTTTTGGAGTCATCCATCTTCTATGAACTGAGATATTTATGTTAGTTAACCTGGTAGATCTATTCTACTGTAAATTAAGCTACTGAGATGCTTAACTCCTAGCCTTAAATTTGGATATCATGTAAAATTTAGATAATTTAATTGGTGTTTCCTGGACTCTCTTGGCCACCAAATATTCTGTCTTCGTATATCAAGTTGGATGCAGGTCATACAATTAGGATGCATCTTGTTTCAAATTTTAAATTCATACACAAAGATTATGACTTGGAACAATCCAACAATGAGTCGGACTTTCTTTATGAACTTCAAATGAAAAGTATAATTACAGCAGGATTTGTAATTCGGTTGATGAGTTGCTTTTACTAACTGATTGAGCCAGGTATCATTCATTTGGTTACCTTTTTGCTGACTAGAAGTAGGACCCTGTGTAGATGCATGCCTTGTTGCACCAACCTCCGGTAGCTCTAGCTGGTCATGCACATGCTCAATGGACAAAGACAAAAAAAAGGGAGGTTAAAGACCAATCTTGGTGATGATGCATATGTTATAATACTGAGAAATATTCATAAAGCTTAATAATGGTTTTAGGCTTTTAGCTATGTAAGAAATATCAAAACTCTACTACTCAAAATTTATACAACACCGACACTTAGTTCATTTAGTAGACATAAAAAGGAAACATAATACCACCTTTTGGTAGCTTTTTGATGAGCATGGTTTACTTATAACTAAATAAGATTTTTTATTAAGAACTCAATATGTCACGACTCGAGTGTGATGGGCTAACTGGCTTATAACTCCATTTTGGTTCAAACCACTGACCAAAATCTAAGACTAATTGAGAGTGGCATACTCATCATACCCTTATAAGTCAATCTTAGTATTTGCCCACTTCCGATGTGAGACTAATTAGGGGTATTACACAATAAATCATCATGACTTCTATTTTCATGATCATCCTTGGAATATCTTTTACCTCTATACAGTATTATTAATTTAATGCCCCTATATTTTGTGTCAAAAGCATCAAGTATCAACCAAGTGAATCATCAATAAACCTTCATTTTGATATCATGATCAAGTTAGAAGTAAGTTATGCTTAAGGCGATTTGCTAATCATATAAAGGACAGAACATATTAGTGGGATAATAGTAGCTGTCATCATCCTTTTTCCCCTTGAATTTGAAATTTGAATGCTTGGATACACTTCTGAATTTGTTTCATGTACCATATTCATATCAGGTATTGTAATTTCTGAACTCAAATTGAATTTGATACTGCTGTTCACTTCAAGAAAAAGTTGCTCTACCCGAGGACCAAAAATATGACAACGTCAATTCATCAATAATAAGTATTTTAAATATATATGTATGTGGAAAAGCATGACATTTGTTTATAGATTTAGAAAGATATGTTTCATTATAAATAATATATAACTAGAACATATCATCCAAGAAAGTATGCGTAAAGTATGCCAACACATAATTTAGTATTGATCTTTAGGCCAAAAATAATTGAATACTTTGAGGGAGTATTTATCACAAATTTGGAAGCATCCAAGTTGCTTATGTTTTGTTGTTTAGCATTGAAACATGATTAACTGATGACCAACTAGGTCACTTGTTCTTTCATATTTGTGACTTCATGTAATAATTTTGTAATTATCTGTTCTTTTGGTTATTACTTGAAGAGAAGCCAGTCTACATGCTTCTTGGGCAGAAAATTCACCATCCAAGACACCTAATCAGGACAGAAGATTAAGCAAACCGGGAAGTTCAACCAATCCCTGCGAAGAGATTTCTAGCCATTCTCAGAGATCAGATAATTTGTCAGTATCAAATACCGACAAAGAGGTTATCTATTCTTGGTCAGTTTCATTGCCCAGTGACGGAGAATCTGAAGCTGGATCAGTGAGTTTATCTCCAGTGCATGATTCCGAGGATCTGCAGTTTTCATATCTGCATCATGAGCTGGTATGTCATATGTCATCCCATCTTGCTTATATTTGGAAAGGAGATCAACACAGCTGGAACTTAGATTATACATCTTGCTTAAAATTAAAACTGCAATACCAATAAGACACTAGTCTTTTGGCGTCATGGTGGAATCCTCCAATTGTCCATTTTCTCCTTGGCCAAGCTTTCAGCAATAACCTGTAAATGGTGGATGACAACTTGACAAATAGAAATCAGCAGATGAAGCTTTCTAATTGGACGAATTCTGGAACGATAATCACAAAGATGAAATACTTATGTAGTTGTGATAAGTCATCTCTCTTTTTCTTTTGTGAATGTCGCCAAAATTTTCAGACTAACTTCTTCGAGGTAAAATTTTAGTGGATCAGGTTCCGGTTTGCCAAGAGCTTGAACATCAAACTCAGTTGTCATCTAACAAATTACACTCACAGTCAACAACAACAACAAGCTGTAATATCTCAACTATTTGAAGTCGGCTAGACGGGCTAATGGCTACATAGAGCTTGAGCATCATCTTACACCCATGGTGTTTTTTATTATTTGGATGCAGCTAAATGTTCATTTCTGACTTGAAGATGAACTTTTGTTCTTTTGCAGGAAGATTCCGACTCACATTCTGATTTATTTAATAAACTTCAAGCTGTCCTCAAGGAGGTGGAGAATTTGAAGCGTGAAGCTTTTGAAGAGTCCTGCAAATATAGAAAAGCTGAAACACAATTAATGTTGTCTCGACAAAAGGTAATTCTTTCTATTGTACATGTTATTTGTGAAATATTAGTTGGTATGAATGATGATAGATCACGGCCATCGAGAAGCTTTCAACAAATTTGTTCATTTTTTTCTGAAAAACAAATGAATTTACTAACATGATCTCACGTATATATATAGACTATTAATGCCAGAATCATCTTTCAGGCTAAAGCATCAGAGAACCTGTATGCCAAAGAAGTGAGATACAGAAAAGAAATTGAGGAAGCACTTGATAGAGAAAAACTAGAAGTGGAAAAACTCAAAAACCAACATGCTGCAGTCTTAAAACAGCTCCAGAATGCAATTGATGAGAATCTGGAATTGGGACACAAGCTCACTGAATCGATTTGTACCACCAGAGATTTTGAAGAGAAAATCTCAGCTAACTGCCACCTCCTCCACTCGCTCCAGGAAAAATGTGATACATTGCAGCGCGAACGAGATGGTGCAGTTAAAGAAGCTGAAGAGCTACGTCATAAGGCAGTGTGGACAAATGCTGGCATTTCTTGGCCTTTAAGCTTGGAATTTTCCTACTTGGAGCTGGAACAAGCAACTCAAAATTTCAACAATTCTTTAATGATCGGCAAAGGTGGATTTGGAAAAGTCTATAAAGGTTTTCTCCGAAACACCACTGTGGCTATAAAAATGTTGCATCCAAAAAGTTTGCAAGGCCAAAATGAGTTCAACCAGGAGGTAATTTCAAGAACCCTGGGGGTTCCTTGATGTTGAATTATATTGATTCTGTTGTATGCCATCGTTTCCTTCTACTTTCTTATGTTGCTTTTGTAGGTTGCTGTTCTCAGCAAGGTGAGGCATCCAAACCTTGTGACACTGATCGGAGCATGCTCTGATGTCTTAGCTCTCATATACGAGTTCCTTCCCAATGGAAGCCTAGAAGACTGTCTTGCCTGTATAAACAGCACTCCACCCCTCACATGGCAGGTTCGCACCCGTATTATTGGTGAAATATGCTCTGCACTAATCTTCCTTCACTCAAACAAGCCACATGCTGTGGTGCATGGTGATCTTAAGCCTGACAACATCCTTCTTGACTCTAACCTGGTGTCCAAGCTTGGTGACTTCGGCATCTGCAGGTTCCTAATTGAGTCCAACACCTCCGCGACCCCCTACCACAAGACACATCCAAAAGGCACAATTGCGTACATTGACCCAGAATTCCTTGCTACTGGGGAACTTACACCACAGTCTGATGTTTACGCTTTCGGGATCATAATCCTACGGCTATTAACAGGAAAACCTGCCCCGGGCATTGCTAGGGAAGTGCAAAAAGCCTTGGACGATGGATATTTGCATGCTATGGTTGATCAGTCTGCAGGGAACTGGCCATTTGTGCAGGCCAAGCAATTGGCACATTTGGGGCTAAGATGCTCTGATACCAGTAGGAGGAACCGTCCAGATCTTGTGGCAGAGATTTGGAGGGTGGTGGAGCCCATGATGAAGGCTGCTTCATTGTCTGTTTCATCGGTCTCCTATAATTCATTCTCCGAGGAAAATTACCAAATTCCTTCCTATTTCATCTGCCCAATTTTTCAGGTCAGTTGAGTAGTATTAAGCTTCAATAACTCAATATTTAAAATGTTTTACTTGGTGAAATAAAGAAGTTTAAGATTTTTTGCTTCTTAATATTATACACAGTATGTTTTACCGGATGAAGTGTTTGAAATTTTGGGTTTATGCCGTATATTGGCACATCAATTTATTGTTTGTTCTGTGGTTGATTGTGTCATCAGGCTTCAAAAGTCTGATGCATCTTCGAAAGTCTTTTTCCAAGTCAATTTGTCTTGAGCAAGTCTGCAAACACTTGTTCAAGTGAAACTCAGCTTCCGAAGACTAGATTTCGAAATAATAGTTTGAGGTTATGATTATTGATTATTCACCGCTGGAACTAAGCTTACTTTCTTGTCGACATCCTTCGTTTCAGGAGGTGATGAGTGATCCACTCATAGCGGCAGATGGCTTTACATATGAAGCTGAGGCTATAAAGGGCTGGATCGATAGCGGGCATGAAACTTCACCCATGACAAACTTACAACTTCCTAACTGTGAGCTTATACCAAATCGAACCCTTCGTTCCGCCATCCAGGAATGGCTTCAGATGCAGCAGCGGTCATGACTTAATTCTTTCTCCAATTGCTGCAAATTCTATTTTCCCATTTGGTTTGTGTACATAGCTTTGTAATACATATAATTCGATCCCTAGTTTTGATACCTGTACATACGAGCTTAAAATATGTATAATAAGCTCCTTTTTTACTGAGATATTTTTTATTTTGAGGAAGTGAAAGGTGGGTGTGCTGAAGTGTTGAATTATTTTCTTGCACCTTAAACCATTTGTTCATCCTGTGCTTAACAAACAGTAGGCTTCCCCTCCGTCCAAATTAAGGTTTCAGGAATCATCCCAATTAAAATTAGGATTGACGAATTCCTGATAGAATCTGACGATAGCATGAGACAGATTCGCATCGTGTGCTTAACAAACAGTAGGCTTCCCCTCCGTCCAAATTAAGGTTTCAGGAATCATCCCAATTAAAATTAGGATTGACGAATTCCTGATAGAATCTAACGATAGTATGAGACAGATTCGCATCGTGTGCTTAACAAACAGTAGGCTTCCCCTCCGTCCAAATTAAGGTTTCAGGAATCATCCCAATTAAAATTAGGATTGACGAATTCCTGACAGAATCTGACGATAGTATGAGACAGATTCGATAGAATCTTTCGCATCTGATAATTGTAAGAGATGGATTCCATGGGATCTTTCACCTCTGACAATAGTGTAAGACCTTCCCCGTCTTCTCTTGACATGGAAGGATTAACAACAGGCTTTAGGAAAATTTTCATTTAACAAAGCACCAGTTTTCACAAAACTCATAAAGCAAGTTTCCTGTCAATTTCCGAAAACATCATTTGATATATTTTTTAATCTAAAAGATTGATCAGATAATGATATCCGAGATCTATTTATGAAAAGATTTAAGAGATCGAAACCACATCAGATATATTTTTAAAGATACTGACTCATTTAGGTAGTAAAGATTTTGACAATTCATTACAAAGTCAAAAGCTCAAATCTCGTCTTTGTCAATTACTCTCTATAAAAGAAATTTCTAAAAACTCGGTGATTCAATAAAAGCATTGCAAAATATGTAAATTTTGGTTCACAAATTCCAATTTAGCAAACCTATCAAAAATTGATATCAACTCACTAAACGAAAAAAGATTTGATTTTAAATCAATGTTAAAAAGTGTTGGCTTCCAACAATGTTAAAAAGAGATCAAAAATCCAATTGTCGGAAAAAAAATAAATATATAATCATAGCAGAGCCACTTCCAACATGTTTCACAAAACTAAATTGAAGATGGACCCATGTAATAAGAAAAGCTCTCCAACTATAACTACAACTACCACTGATAGGCATTCCAAAGATCAATATACCCCCAGCACAGATTTGAAGCTACACAATTTCAATCTCTAACAGTAGAAGATAACAGTTAAAACAATCTGTGTTAGATCATAAGAGAGATTACTCCTCGGTGATGGTAATAAACAATCTGTGTTAGATCATGATAGAGATCATAATACCTGGCAAAACAAGAAGCTCTGAAAGTGCCAAGAACAAAGCACACATTAAGGAGGTAGTTGGACAATATGATTTGGATGATCAAATTCAACCAGAAAGCAATCATACAAGATTGAGGCACACTAGCATAATATACAATCTGGAGAAATCTATTCACAGAAACATTGGCTTAATTACCCATTGACGTGATACCATCTTTCGTTGCACCTTGCTCGATCACGCCCACTCCTGACTTGTGCTGCCAGTTTAAAAGCCTTGACAAGATGAGAAATATGCAAACTGTGAACAAAAAAGAATCACAGTAAGGTGGACAGGTGGCACAGTTGCTTTCTATCGAGCTGATGGCTTTAGTTCCTAAGCTTTCTTGTTTATTATCAACCAAAAATGTTACACAAGCAAAAACTTTAGTTAAGTCAAACCAAATAAAGTCCACAAGGGATACAGAAACCAGCTCTTTTTCTGGTAGTTGAGAGCAAAGGCTCTCGCAGAAATTGACGGGCTCTCACTATATTGAAGACGTCTTTGAGATGGTTTCGACAAAGCAACAAGAGCATACCACATTGACCCACCGACCCCTCTATCCAAAAAAAGAGATGCCCTTTGTACAAATACGAAGAACCATTTAGCTATGTTTGACACACAGATCATCTTCCATCCAAGCCTGCAGTATATGAAATACAAATCAGGAAGCTGACAGTTGCATCCAGAAAAGATGAGAATTAAACTTGGGGTGGAACAGCAAAGAAACTCATATACACAACAATCAGAAAAAGACTTTCATATAGTCAAACTAATTTGTCGTCGTGTGTGGACCAGCAAAACTTGGGTGAACCAGTTGGATGGAACATAATTGATCACAAAAGTTTTCAATTCTATTTACAGTTTTTTTATGGAACCACATTTTAAAATTCAACTACATATCTTTAACGTGATTCTACAGAACCAAACTTCTTTTGCATGAGAGTTCGCGCCGCAGTGAGGTTGTTCTCATCTGAATTTGGCGTCTTAAATAGCATGCAATAACGAGTGGTGAAATTTACATGAAGTTCTTACATATATATGTAATATGAGTTAAATAAAACGAGATCAAACTAGAATAAATCATAACTGAATCCAACGTAAACCAAACCTCTTTGTTTTAGGTTGTGTTCATCGATATGCTTTACTTTCAAGTATTAACTCTTTTAAAATGGGTTGATGTTGAGTTTGATCAAGCCACTGATCCTATTTCCACATTTAGTAAATAAAAACTCTTGGGGCATCGTAGTATTTCACTGATACTTGATCTCATCTTGGTATAATATGGAAAAGAATAAAGATCTGGTAGCTCAGAGTAAAGATAAAATCTTTGAATAAAAATAATGAGGCAAGGTATAGGTAAAAGACCAAAAGTGAAATTTAGGTAGAAATATGTGAAATGAAGAAAAATATGTACTTCAGACTATACCAATCAACCGACAATGAGAAGCCAAACTAAATGTGAGATAACCACTTAGATATCAGCTTTCTTTTTTCCTTTTTCTTTTTTGCTTTTTTGATAAAACAAATGGATACAGCTGAAAAACTCACATAAAGAACAGTTAAAGAATAACACCAAACAATTTGGAATGGTGTTAATAGATTACCTAAAGAAAAATATGATTTAAATTTTAAGAAAGAAAACTGGGCGAAAGAGGCACCAAGCAACCTGAACAAAAAAATATGTCCAATAAATACATCATAATGAATTTTCTAAAACAGGAGACACCCTTATTTTCATCAAGTTACCATCACAACTTTATATCCATCAAGGTCTCCAAAGCAATACATGTATTAACAACAACAAATTCCTGCCAAACCAATCTCCGTCTGCATCAGAACTTGGAGTGTTCTGATATTTTTTCAGGAAAGGTGGTTGATGGACAACATCAAGGTTCACTCATCTGATAGAATTATTTAAAAGCAAGCATAAATCATGTTTATCAAGCAACTAGTTAGGCCCACCAATACGACTCAAATTGAACTTCTGCTAAGCATATATAACACTATAAACAACCATAAAAGTGATTATAAAAATTGTGAAAGGTTGCTGAAAACAAAAGGTATAATCCTAATCTAATCTATGCCATTTTAGTTTCAGCTCTAGCTTAACTGAAATTATTTCAATTGTTCAGAAGGTGCAGGTTGTAGCTCAAATATGGGAGAATAGAGGATCATTAGTGCAATATCATATCAATAAACCACGAGAGCCAACTAGTACTAATAAGAGAATGGCAGATGCCAGTGTAAACACCATGCCAAGTTTTACCCAGGGACAAGAACAGCCTAGGATTTAAACAAAAGAAAGGTATGCAAAAGATTAGAACTTACTGGCCATTTTGCAAAGCTCACTCAGGATAGGAGCAACTAATAGAACCTAAAAACTTATGTTGGCTAGGAAACCAAGCCTGTGCTACACCATGAGACTGAAACAAGAATATAGAAATGAAACTTCAATGTGAAAATTCTTAGAAATCCGGAAAGAATTTTAAATGAAGAAAATACCATAATATATTAAATATGTAAGATATTAATTTCATAAAAATAAGGATGCCTACCAAATTTTAGAGAAAAAAATCCAGCCACCAATTAATTTGAAAGCATGATTATTACACTAAATTACAATGTAAGATGTAGTTAAGGTTTTGCTGAAAAATAAATTGAACACAAGAAACAGATTTGAAATCAAGAATCAGAACATGAACAAAACGAAATCCTACTGGCAGTAATGAGGCAGGTATGTGCCATGCAATAACATAGGAAATTCAAGAAAAAAATAATCCTCTAGTTACCCAATAGAGAGAATAGAGAGTTAAACTAGACCTGCGAATTTCTGAACCGAACCATTCGAATTCACCAAATTAGGAACAAGCCTCCTGTCTTGTCCTAAAGACAAAATTTCTTGCATTCTTTCAGGCCAATCAGAATTTAATCTTCTGGCAAAATCTTCCACTTCTCTGCATAAAAGACATACAGAATTAAGCTACATGCATACCAAATGCAAAAAAGATTGTCAAGTCTTCATATTATATAATTCACAAATGAAACTATCAAAGAAGGATCACCACAATCAACAAATATATGAAAAAACAAATCATTATACTGAAGCATCATACAATTTAGAAGTGGTCACACAGATAAGATGCTGATAAAAACATAAGAAGTTTGCTTAGCTTCTACGGTCAATATGAAAGACGAAGAAAAAAACAGGATGCTAAAGAAAGATGACCTAGAATCGAATCAACTTATGTTTCTATGATCAAAAAAGAAATAAGATGAGATCTTGGAAAAACTAGATATGTGATAATGGACTAGGATAATGAAATCAAAGTCAAATAAATTTTCCAATTAATTACCCACATCCTAATGTCAATCTTCAATATATTTGCACAAGTATATGCACTTCTTGATGAACCATTTAAGAAAAAGGATTATCAATGTGTTGAATTTAAACGAGCTTGAATGGGCACACAAGGCAAACACCCAAAATTCTCTTTGTTTTAAATTCAATGTTACCTTCAATTAAAAGTTCTACCAAAATAACATGCAAAAAGAAAACATAAGCAATCAAATATATTTAAGATTTCGCCAAGAAACATAGTAGAAGAAATAAGAAAAATAACAATAAGGAAATTCTCGTCAATCTGCAAAATTATGAACAGAACCTCACCTATCAAGTTCTTCCTTCACAGCGGGATCTAGCTCATCATCGATATCACCATCTCCAAATTCAACATTTGATACAAATGCATCTTCAACATTGCCTTGCACTTCCAAATTTTGACTTGGACTAGGAGAAAAGGTGTCTTCCTTCTAAAATCCAAACATTGTAACACTAATTAATTACAGCCAGCAAAATGTTATTCAGACATCTAAGCATCACAAGACAGCAAAGATCATCCTATGAACCTTCCTGTGCACTTTGGCAGAGTCTCCGGAGGTATCCTTTGATAGAACTTTTTTCCTCCTATTCTTTTTCTTATTTTTAATAGCTTTAACACCTTTGGAATCTGTTAAAATTTGAAAAGGTCCATTAGAGCACATTTTAATGCAGTTAATCTTTAGTAAATTTAATATCACACATCAATGTACCATCCATCATATCTTTCACAAGAAAAACGACACCAACACTGCAGCAAAAAATCTAAACAGTAACGAACAATTGATTTCAACAAGATGATGTTGCTGGTCCTCAGATCAAAAATTGATCCGAGCAGTTCTCACATAATTTTAGAAGGCAGGAAATTGCAAATGACAGAGAAGGGAAGGAGGAGAAGGGAGAAGATTCTGAGAGCAAATACCTTGATGCCAAAGGAGATAAGAAGGAAAGATGCTTGCAAGAATTCCCATCATAGTTTTTTGTTAAAAGCTAAAAGAGAATGCATTGGTGCTTTCCACAGGCCTTCGTCACTGACAATCGCCTTAAAATGGACCCTTTTTCATAGCTTCCCAATAGCTAGTCACCACCTCAGGTGAAAATGAATTTGGGACTCTAGAAAACGTTAATGGGTGAATGAATATATTCTTATAATCAGTTCACTAAGTATCTATTGGGATGAACCCTACTATTAGATCAGCTATTTTTGTGAATGTGACTGATATGTTGCACAATCTTTGGTACCCTGTCCAAATATTCTTCTAATTTTAAGCTTGCAAATCTTCAAACAAATAGATCCTAATCATTCACAAGTGCAGCCAATGACCAATAAATATTAATTTTTGGATTATATTTGGATCCATCTATTAGTTAGATAGGATCCCAACCATGAGTAAATTATACATGATCAAAAAAATAAAACTCATATCAAGGAAATTACCAGAAAGTGGTTAATGACACTATATTTATCAATAATGAAGTCAATGATAAATGTGACCTTAAACTTAGATCACAAAGTGGATGTGCAGAGACATCCTAGTTAGCATATCAGCACAAGGATAACCTAAATAAAACAAGCAAGTAAGAGTACACTAGGATGATATAAAATCCATACAGTAATGTAAAATTAAAGTGGTTGCGGATGTAATTGGAAAATGCCAAGAGGTCATAATATGTGGTATTAGTATCAAATATGATAAATCACAGAAGCAACAGATGTCACCTTCATGTCCATTTATAAAAGATAAAATCTCATCAACAGAACGCTCCTCTTTCTTCTCTTCATCTGCTTCCTTACTCTGAAAGAAGTTTTAAGTTGTTTGCTAGGATCAATATTGAAGAAGATGAGAAATGAAATTCTTACATATTTAGAACATATCTCCAGTGAGAACCTGGATTCTTAGCTAGAGAAGCAGATGTAACTACCTTCAATTTCTGCTGCTCTTTTAGTTCTTTACGTTTTTTAGCATATAATCGATTGAGTAACCGAATCCGTGGATCATCATTTACATTTTTCAATGGCTCCAGCTTCTCTTCCTGATATAAGACCTGATCCTTGTAGTAAGTGCAGAAATAGTATGGACAAAAATTAAAAAGCATATAATTACTTCTGTAAGGTCATCTGGCAAATGAAATGTCTCACGAATTTCTTCCGGTGACTTCCCTTCTATCATACGAGCAAGAGCTCGACTAGTGAGATCAACCAATGGCTTTAGCTGGAGGCTGTCAGCTGCAGAAGTCAATTCACACAGTCGTTTTGTATCCATTCTGATGAATTTCTCATCAAAAGATTTCCGCTCCTACACAATACATAAAAATACTTATAAAACTCTACTACCTATTTCTTTTTAATATGATGAGCATAAGAGAGCAGCCAATCATTGATATTTTGCCACAGAATTTGAAATTCCAGTCATATACATGTTAACATACTAAGGACCTTTAGGTTGGTTTTTTCTAGAAGTTATTAATAGATATACTGAATTTTAACCAGAGATATAAGAAGGACAAGAAAAAAAAGGGGGAGAGTGAATTTGATGTGCTAAGTAAATAAAAAATAGCATGATACATACCCTGTTAGAGCGGCCAGGAACTTGATGAAACCGGCAATAATCAAAAATAAAGTTCAGAATCGCTGGATTGACATGTTCAGGTAAAGATATAGCATAGTTTTTTGATGATCCCATCCCTGTCTGAACGATCTCTCGGTATATCATAGGACAGAATGTTGCCACCTCCTCTTCAACTTGCTGAATTGACCCATCAGCACATTGCAGCCAGATAAAAGACTTCATGGCCTGTCAGCACAAAAAAAGTTATTCATATAATGGGAAACCTGTTATATGAATAATTACTTGATAGGACTTATAAAATATCAGTTCAAGGATAAAGAATCAGAAACAAAACTGTATATAATCAAAGAAACATGGAAATAATTGGAACAAAATTCAGAGTCAAATAAAAGTTTGGTATCCAAAGAGATAGAAAATGTAAATTCAGTGACCATGGGCGACCAGTAAACACTTTGTAAGAAAAGAGACAATTGATGAGCATATGATGGTGAAAACAAAAAAGAATAATCGAATTTTACACTTTCACAAGAGAAAGGTTTTCAGCGATAACAAATATACCTCTGGCTTGATAATGGCCTTTTCACTTTCCGACATCGATGAAAGCCTCTTTGCACCAAGAAGAGAAGAGATATAAATGATGATGAAATTATAAAATTGATCCACCACGTACAGCAATCCTATATTGGGCAGTGATAAAAGATATGCCCCAGCAACAGAATCTTTGGTAATAGAGTAGGTAGTAATTGTTCACAAAACCAAACCCACTTGTTACATGATGTGACTTCTGCATAACTTGCACAAATATACTCTTTGCGCATCAATGTGTCAGTAATATGAAATAGCTTTCTGCTTGTATTACGAACAAATTCTTCAGTCACTTGCTTGGCCTACCAAGATAAAAATCACAGTTAGAAATATAGATAAAACGTGCCTATAAAATTCAACAATAATAAGCACCTATAACAAAAGCAGCCAATTGAGAAAAGAGAAAAGTGCCTTAAAACAAAACACAAAGAACTAAATGGAACTTATATGCATGTGAATTCTCCATTGCACATGTTGCCTAACATTTTAGCTCTAAAATGAGAAATTCTTTAAAGAAACCAAAAATCCAGATCAGATACTTTAGTATAACTTCTTCATATGAAACATAATAAAACTTGTTAAAAAGATTTGAAAGATACAAACAGATTCAGGTAAGAAAAATTAACTGTACTTATATGCAACAGATTTAAATTTCAAATGGAAAAGAACCATACAACACACGTTATTGGAAACCCTAGTAGAACAATGGAGGACGCAATGCTAGTGACTCTAAGGTTCATACAGCAGCCAAAGAACAATATTTCTGAGACCATATTGTCAACTAATGTAGTGCAGTACTGTAGAATAGATCCCTAAATCCCAATCCTAAAATTCTCAACGACAAAAATGATAACTACCAAATGAATGAACGAGTTTTGTAAATAAATGCTGTTAAGCATACCACCGATACCAACGTTCGAACAAGTATGTTCAGAAAGTCGCAAGAAACATTAATAGTTTCCCTGGATAAGCTTTCGAAGTGATTGAAAACAAGCACCCAAAAGCAGCATTACATCCTTATCGCAAACATTTTCGTAAAACTAAACATTCGATATCGTATCATGGTTTAACCTGGACAAGAAACAAAGATTAATTGCTAGGACATTGCAACTATTTACAATATATCGAGATCCTTACTATATTCATTAGCGTCAACCACAAGTAAGCTACCAGATTCACATTTCCGTCGGCATAGACAACACAACTGAATAACCAATTCCGAAACAACAACAGAGGATCCTCTTCACCCCAAGATCCGCATCTCAAATCGGGAAAGATCACCCCGGTACGCAAAATTTCAAACTTTCGCCCGCCGACAAAAAAAAAAAAACAAGACGAAACTCGTACGCCTCGCTTCCTCAATCCCCTGATAAATGAGAAGAAGATTCCGCCCGTACCTGACACCACAATGTCGTCCAAGACCGCCCCCAGGAACGCGAGTGCGAGCTAGGGCACACGGCGGCCCCGCCGGTCGTGGGGGACGGAGAGTCGTACCTCGAATCAATGACGGGGAAAGAATGGTAGGGTTTTGGAACGATTTGCCCCTTCAATCGGAGGATCGTTTTCCTCCTACCCTTCTCGATCTTCCCCTCCCTACCTTTCGCGAACGACACGGCGGTGGCCCGCGCTCCATTTCTAACGCCTACATCTGAGCCGGGCCAACAATCTATTTGGGCCATTCGAAAAGCTAATCTATTACATATGACCCGGTTGATCGTAACCGAAACAACTAATCATGGGCCAAATCTGACCCATGACAAGATTAGGCTCATAACGGCTTGGTTGGACCCACCAATCGATTTAAATCTTGATGCAGGTTAAGTTGGATCGAGTCGATCGATCCCTGTGATTCGAAATCGATCTCACATTTTTTAGAGCAAATTTTATTACGCACTCGTCCCAATTTGATTTCAGACAACATCGATCTTGCCCAATTTCGACCGTGTCGAACCCTACAAACTATATCGAGGGTATTTTTGATAATGTTCATTTCATTTTCAAGCCAATAGAGAATTTGGATTATGTCTTTGTACAATATCTAGCAAGAGAGATATTTAAGAAGAACTCTTATTATCGTTAATTGTAAGGAGGGTGGTGTGACCATGATGCATCAAATCTGTGATACGTTAACCTTCCGTTGATGCATCCTCTGAGATGTTCGTCATGTGACACTATGATATAAGTCATATGGGGTTATCGTGTCAGTCATGTGATGTTGAAGTGTTTGTTATATCATTAATATTTTTTTAACCTCTTCCTCTATGTTTATGTTTATATAATATTGTTAACAATATGGCATTCAAAACATGATGAAAAATATTCATGCCATTGCATTACTTTGTATGCTTCATAGAAAACGTGTAAAGGTTATGCATCCATCTATTTAGCATCTGCAATAATTTATATTTTGAAAAAAAAAAAGGTTAGGCAGATTCATTTATAAATCTCTCTCTTATCGATTATTTTTCTTATTCGGTCAATATCATCTAATTGCAACATTTATAGATCTTTAAATATTTGTATATAATCGAATATTTTTCGTTATTTTATCTTTTATCGGAGCCACACCCAATTTTTATTGGTTCTAAATATTTTTTACTAGATAATTAAATGATTATGTATTTCCATCGTTTGTCTGTTAATTATGTTCTGTAATGACAACCGTTTGAGTTAAATACGATAATAATATAGGCGCCGTCGGACACGTGGAAGCGAGACGAGGCCTTGTCGGCTGGGATGCGTTGTCCTGTCCGCTGTCGGGCCATATTTATATGCGCAACCCAACGCGACCAATTCTTGCCGCCAGCGAGATCATGTGGCCAGCGAAGTAACCGGGCCCACTGTGGTGCGTCCCACATGGCCCGCCACTCTTCTCTCACCTTCTTCCAATCATTCGTTCTTGCTGATCGAAGAAGAGATAACGTAAGAATAACGAGACATTCCCTTCGTCTATTAACTTATGCACTAATGTGACTGTCATGCTGCATTAATTAAGGCTATAACATCCATCAGGGCATCACATATACCACCGCAGTTGGATTAGTTCGAGGTATTGTTTATTGATGTGCAGGAAGCATGCGTTTGACTTCAATTCTCGCGGTTCCACAAAGATAGCAGCAACCAAGAGGCACAATTATACTTGACCGCTGCGAATTGTGATGTGGTGATGAGGAGTTTCTTACAGCTTGTCACATGTTATATGATGTATGCATGAAGATGAAAGCAGTGCGTCTCTATAAAATCCACAGAATAATCCTGTTCTACAGCAAGCGGCGGGCCTTCCTCTCTCTCTGTGTTGTGTTTTGGAAGAGTTGGGAGAGGCAAGAGGCTCTTAGAGGTGGGGGAAATGGAGGGGAAGGAGGAGGATGTGAGGATTGGAGCGATCATGTTCTCGGAGAGGCAGCCGATAGGGACAGCAGCGCAGACCCATGCGAAGGACTACAAGGAACCACCACCAGCCCCGCTCTTTGAGCCAGCGGAGCTCAGGTCATGGTCCTTCTACAGGGCTGGGATTGCAGAGTTCATGGCCACCTTCCTCTTTATCTATGTCAGCATCCTCACGGTTATGGGGGTGGTGAAGTCCGACAGCAAGTGTTCCACTGTGGGTATCCAGGGAATTGCGTGGTCCTTCGGAGGCATGATCTTTGCTCTGGTCTACTGCACTGCCGGCATCTCTGGTGAGTTCCTTTCTCCATGTTGCCGTTTCCTCTTGCTTTGTAGTTGCATCTCTCGGTCTTTGGAATCTGTGATGCTGGTGCAGGTGGCCACATCAACCCGGCTGTGACCTTTGGGTTGCTACTGGCGAGGAAGCTCTCCCTGACCAGGGCCATCTTCTACGTGGTGATGCAGTGCCTGGGCGCGATTTGCGGCGCCGGTGTGGTGAAGGGGTTTCAGAAGGGGGTGTACGAGAGCAACGGTGGCGGAGCCAACGTCGTGGCCGCTGGCTACACCAAGGGCGATGGCCTTGGCGCGGAGATCGTCGGCACCTTCATCCTTGTCTACACAGTCTTCTCCGCCACTGATGCCAAGAGGAGTGCAAGGGACTCTCATGTGCCTGTAAGTAGTTCTTGCCTCACCTTGGCTCTTACTAAACCACTTGATGCTAAACAATGGGTTCGATATTTCAGGTGCTTGCACCCTTGCCTATTGGATTTGCGGTTTTCCTGGTTCACCTGGCCACCATCCCCATCACTGGCACTGGCATCAACCCTGCCAGGAGCCTCGGAGCTGCCATCATCTACAACAAAGAACACGCCTGGAATGACCATGTAAGCATGTTGCGTCATTGAAGAACCAGCAGCAAAGCGATGAATATGATGCTAGGGCTTGTCTAACTACAAACACAACGCTGATGAACTTTTCTTATGTTTCTCTCAGTGGATCTTCTGGGTCGGTCCCCTCATTGGAGCTGCCTTGGCTGCCATCTACCATCAGGTGGTGATCAGAGCCATCCCGTTCAGGAGCAAGCGTTGAGCAGTCATGGCTTCCTTCCATTGCTTGTCCGTCTTGTGGTTCCGTTCCTAATATGCAATGTTTGTGTGGATTAAATGTTGTCACACGTAATGTGTTTGTTCAGGTCTGCATTTACTGGTGTTAATTCAGATATGTAGTTGTCAGAATTTATTATGAAATTTATCATTGACATAATTCATATTTATATAAGTTTTTTTTAAAAAAATAATTATATGATTGATTTTTAAATCATAAATTGATTAAGGACTAGAGTATATAAAAAATATAAAGTTATCATTTCATATTTGTCGATGAAACTGAAAATTGAGCTTTCATAAAATATATCAATCTTAAATCGATGAAACTGAACTATCCGATGAACAAGAAGTTTTGTGAGGGAGTCTACAAGTTGATCAGAAGTATGGACATGATAAATATATTATTAATGTTTGACAATTTGATCTATAATAAATGAAAATCGATGATAATATGTTTCATGAGGGAAAAACTAGGTTGGCGCATAAGTAGGTAACACCAACATTATCACAATATATTATAGGAGTGGATTGGTAAGTGACGCCATGTAACAGATTGATGACCCAGTTGAGTTTTACAGCGATTGTAGCGATGACTCGATATTCAACTTTAGTAGTGGATCATGCGATTGTGTTCTACTTCTTAAAACTCTAACTGATCATAATTGTTCCAAAGAGGACAACATAAGTTGATGTAGATGTTCCATTATTCGTATTATCTATCCAATTACCATCGATGAAGGCATAAAAATAAAGTGATGCATATTTCTAAAGAAGAATCCATAATTAAAAATCTATTTGAGATATCATATGATATATTTTAATGCGAGAGTCGATATATAAATTATGATAATTTATTGATTACAAATAAAATGTTTAGATGTATGAGAAATAAATACTACAAGGATCCAAATACTTGTCAATATTGTGTAGGATCTCTAATAAGACTATCATCATATAATTTGAGTGATTTAGTGATGAAGAGTGGGGTGACGACTTTTTTAGTATTCTGCATATTTGTCTTTGATATTATATCTTAAATATACTTATTTTAAAATTAAAAAAAAGTTTAAAAAAAATATGAACGTTGTTTCCACTATAAAAAAATAGCTTAAGGTTTCTAGGTGAGAATCAATTTACCAATTGCTTAAAGAATTATTTAATCTCCACTGAATTATTATCTATAATTATAATATCATCCATATAGATTAGTAGATATATAATATATCCATTTTATCAATATAAGAATAAAAAGATGTTAGACTTGGAGTTGATGAAGTCAGTAATATACTAGACTCTTAGAACTCGGTGAAATTCATAAATAGTTTTTTTTAGTTTATAAATATTGTTTGGATATTAAGAGTGGATGAAGTTATAGGGTTTCTATCTAAAGGCAACTTTAATTAAGGTCTCTTGTAAAAAAGTATTATAAACATCTAATTGATGTATATGCCATCCTTTAGTGATAGTCAAACTCGGGAGGAGTTAAATCATTATTGTGAAATCAACACATGATCATTAGTGAAATCTTTTAACTACTTAACGTGCTTTGTATTTAGTAATAAATCTATTTAGGTTTCATTTAATTTAAAAGAACGACTCACGCCCAATGATATTTTGTGTGAGGTGAAATGATATAAGAGTTTATGTGATATTATAAAATAGAGTATCGTATTCTTCACACACGATACGAAGTTGTTAGAACTTGGTATTTACCTCATCTATTAGAGTAAACTATAAAAAGTTCTCTATAATCTGTCTAAAATAAGTAAAGAGTATGATGACTTTATATTTATGTTTCAGAGAACATAATCATATATATTTAGTAAAGTAATATACGAAAATGATATAAAATCTGAAATCATTCAAGGAGTGGTTGGGACAAGACTTTAGACATTAGTGTAAATAATTTTAAGTAGTTTGAAGCATGATATAAAAAATATTTCAAAAAATAATCTTTAACTTTTATTACTAAGATAAGTATAACAATGAATTATAATTCTACTTGTTTTAAAAGTTAGAATGAAGTAATAAGAAATTACTTATTGTTGAATGATGATTGACTCATGTGACAATGTCACACATTGATTGGAACAGTAACCGAAGCAAAAGCAATTAGCTAGGTGATTTTTGAA